AGGCTAGGGTTAGGAAATAGTTAATGATCATCTGGGTATTTGATAAGATGGGTACGTGTTGTAATAATTCCCCAGCTTTGCAATTTGTAACATTTGCATGACTAAGTTATTGCCCTTGATGCATCAGCCCAGTTTACTTGCTTGTAAACTACTCAACTTAAACATCATGAGACAACATTTAAACTTAGGGTAATCTGTTTGACACCCTCTGACCAAGCAAGAGAGAAGGGAGATCAGTCGCCATCCTTTAGCTATTGCTAGGTTCCATCCTGGTTTTGGAAGCATGATGATTTCTGCTACTCGGAATATGGTAGAAAAATGCCCAAGCTCTAAACACACTTGGAAGATGTTTATTACCTGCCGCCTAACGGCTGGCCAGCATGCTCTCAGCAGTTGCAATGTTATCTTGCCTGAGCCAATAGTGCTTGTTGTTACATCCTCTAGGGATATTGTCGCATTCCATGGGATCGACTCTGTTTGTTCGGATTCCCTCGTAAGGAGATTGTAGGACGCATTGAATTTGGTGAGAATAGAGCCCCTTAGAGCTTCTGCTCGTTTGAGTGGGTCTGATGTCCACGTATCCTCTGCGATTTTAAGGGGGGGAGAATCTTGACCAATCTTTGGTTTTGTCCACTCCATCAGTTTAAAGACTTGTGAGTCTTTCATAGTATTCTCTGTTGTAAGAATCTGAGTTCATAACTTCACACACCATCAGGGGATAACTGTGCACCAGCAAAGTTATCCCCTTAGAGTCTGATCACTATTGCCTCCTGGTTGCTACACATTAATATCAACGTTTTCACTACAATGAGGACACCATTGTAGTTACTCTAGCTATCATAGACAATAACATGTAGAGGAATAAGGGTAGGAACTTCTGTATATAGATAGGGCCTTTTTACTCTCAGTATCTACATCCATCATCCACAAATACAATTCACCATCAATCAATCATCCTACTCTATCCAAGTGATATATTGAATTCTCCCATACCTATCAGTATTCTATTCACAAGGTGACGTCTCTGTTGAGTGGATTGGTTTGCAAAAGCTTGTGGTTGTCAGGCACAGATTATATCACTTGGTGAAGCGAGTGGGAAAGTAAAAGGAGTCTATAAATCTGTTGTGGAGAGTTGTTAATTACTCCAACTAGGACACAGAGTGCTACATAAACTTTATTTTGTAATAATAAAATCTAGTGGTTGGTATTTACGTCAAACCGCATTAATACTAACCTCACAATTAATGGGAGATTAGTGATGTGTATCCTACACATCCCTGTCTTTACCATAATTAGAAGCACCAATTTCAACAAGCATTACCTGTTGGCCATTTTTCTTTCACAAAGTCTTTTAGTCATTTTGAAGTCCAGCTTGATTTTTTGACAAAAGCCCTAAATGGAGGACAATGACATGCTTTTTGAAATTTCTTTATTACCTTCACGTCCATTTTGAATCCCATGGGAGCCTTTCCTTCGGCGAGGTAAAAACATTCTTCACCCAGGTGGTTGATTCCACAAAGACATGGTCTTGATTGATTTGTCTCATCTTGGGTTCTCTGCTCGATTTGTTTATTCTGGGCTTTTATTTTTGGAGAATGGGAGGGCTGCGGCATGTTTTTTAAAGTTGCAGGAAATGCAGCTATGCAACTTTTTGACTCAAAATTGGTCAGAGACCAAAACTGTTGAAACTCTAGCAGCACATTTAGAAACTTGAGCTCCAATATATTTGGTATCTTTATGATTTCCATCTGTTTATTTGTTACCCACATTGGTAAGAGTGAGTTCGAAGCCGAAAGGAAATCTTGAATCAACTTGTAATCACTGAAATCAGCAATTTTTAATCTTTTGAACATTATATCCAAACTTTCCCATTCCATTAACCAATTATCAATGTTTGCATTTATGGGTGGCGTTCAAATTTTGGTGTAATCTTCAACTAATTTCAGTTGTTGAATATCTGCTGTTGGCTCAAGTCTATTCTTTATTTGGGTTAGAATATCTCGACATGTCACAGAGCCAAAGTTTAACTTCCTCTGGTTAGAATCTGGTGAATCAAATATCTTGACCCTGAGTTCACCAATGGCACGAAAATCTTGTTTATACATCTGTATATCAACTCTGTATTGAGCATTATCTTCTTTAAACATGTATTTCTCGTCATCATTTAAATCTGCGAGCCTTGTGGCAGTTGATTTGTAGTCAGAGAAATTTGGCTTGTGAGGTTCTTCAATCACAATAGCAGTTGATGTATCAACAAATCTCCAAATGCCACTATCTGTGGCATGACCTTGAATCATGTCAATCCATACTACGTAGGTTTTGTTTCAGAGGGTTCCTGATTTGAATGATGCCAATTTTATAAAATATATATGGCATCAGTTGGGCAGAAAAATTTAATGGGTATAATTTTCCTAGCAAAAAACCGGACTTGTAACTATCAGGAAACTGAGGAACCTGTCCTGTAGCAGGTGAAGAATATTTACAGGTATCAACAACTCAGTAGAAACAACTCTATCTTTCTTCCGAGCATCAGTCCCCAGAAGTTATCACTTCTCTATGTAGACTGTGCGTTCAACTAGCTAATTTAAAATACTCTATTATTGGATCCAGTATATCCAAATGTGATCCGAACACCAAATAAACCTTAGATACTTCCTAATGTCTAACGCATATAGAATAGAATAGTATAGACAAGTACAGATCAGAACAGAACGAAATAGAATGGAATGGAGTAGAGTAGGATAGAACAGAATAGAACAGAATTGTATAGGATAGAATATAGCAGAATAGCACAGATATTTTTGCACATACTTCCTGTTGACTCAGAATAGGCCCTTGGTCTGTGACAAGCGCTTCCACCAGTAGAGCCTGGAGGTGCGTTATAAATATTGATGATCTGCAAGGCTGTCCCTGAGGGTAATTTCAGACAGAGAGTAAGTATGTTGCCAGAGAGATTATTATATTTTTGTTCTGCACGTAGTCCAACCCCTTTCCGCATGTATGAGAACACTCTAGGCCTGGTGATTGACCAGTCATCAATCAGAAAGAAAGTCTCATATGATGGATGGTACTTTGTAATTTGTCAAGCGCAATCACGAAAAATGTAAGGTTCCTGAATCAGGATAATATCTGCTAATAAAGTAAAAGCTTCCTTGAGGGTGATCTCATGCAAAAGAGTACCTCTGCCGACATTCTAGGAAAATACCGTTAATGGCTTGGGCAAAGCCTTATGAGACTTATAGCTGTCCATAATGCTTCCATTTTGTCATTGCTCTGATCCTCTTTGACGTAAAGGGCACCAAAGGGATTCTTGGAAACAATTTCTTGTATATCCTCTGTTGTCCTTGATCAGTCAGGGCTGAGGTGTTGAGATGATGACGGCTTGTCACTACGCGCTGCTGAGTTGGCTTGGTTAAAAGGCTTCGAACAGCCTGCTTCTGCTTGTCTACACAAGCGGGCATCTACATTGACTTTTCGGACTGCACTCACCTGAGCTTTAGTCGAAGGTGGTCCTGCAGCTTTAGGCTTGAGCTCACACTTGGAAATATCAACAGCATGAGTGTGACGACCAGAAGGGAGCACAGGTTAGCAGATGAACAAGTCAAATCAGGTAAGGACTCAGATCTGGAATATAATTCATAAGGTTCTAAACTAAGGGAAGAAAATAACAAGAGGTATCTAGAGATATACATATATACACAATTTACAATTGGTCCGTGCATATGTAGGATCATAACACAATATCAGAAAGGAACAATAGTATTAGAGGCCCCGAGGGTCAGGAATACAAGGCCGTAACAATGAGGGCCGTGACAGTAAACGCATCTAGGTGGACAGGTGTGCTCACCTGCGGCTACACAGTGGTTACCATGCTCATTTTCAGTATTGGTGCCCCAAACCACATAGGCAGCACAGGAGGGAGGATGCACAAGTTCGGGTATTATGCCATAGCCAGCATCTATTGCACTGAGCAGCTGTGTAGCGCCGAGGGAAAGATTTTATGATTGTACAGCAACCAAACAGAAAGAGAACACGAGGAAGATGTTGGTGAGTTTCTGGAAAGCAAACAATCCATGTTTTTGAGGAGTCTGGGCTCTCCTCATTATCGCGCGACGCAAGGATGGCTATCTGGGCTGTTCCTGCTGCAGCTGAGAGTGCTTCATGTATAGCAGTGGCTGTGACTGGTTGAAGGCGGTATCTGAGTTTGTTGTTGATGGTTCCGAACGTTTGTGGGAAATTATTAATCCTATACGAAGTCCACGGTGAAGCACTTTTGACTGCAACATTATCAAAAATACCCACCTTTGAGATTTCTTCCTTAAGTTTAGAGGTTTCTACATCTTTAGGGCAAAGGGCGAAACCAGTCTTTGTGTTAGAAATGGAGACACTGAGTGTTGTGGACGTATGGGCCCTCCATTTCGTCTAGGTTCCGGACACAATCTCGTGTGTATTTAAGAGGTTGGAATGAGTAATATGGTAGCGCTTCAGGCTACCTATTGGATACATGAGCGGCTGTATGGCGTGGGCAGAAGGAGGTTATTGGGGGGTTTTCTATGCCTAGATGGCGCCACATTTGTTTATGCTGTGGCTTAGGCTACGTGTCGCTAACACTTGTACTTCTAGCGTACATTTTCCACAGTTTTAGCCTTAATCCGAACATGACACTCTTTTAGTCAACTTCTAATTTCGTTCCATGAATATTGAGCCCATTTCATTGTGCAATATTTCCAACACTTTATGGACTGCACATTGACTAGAACTCGCCATTCGTTTCCTAGATTAGCTTTCAGGTGAGACTGGATAGCGTGCGCTGAGAGACCCCTGAGCTTATCTCCATCATGTATGCAGACAAATAGACAATCATTAGTGCAAATTTGTTTTGGTTGTATTTTTGGGCTAGGATGTGCTGGCTCTCTACTACTGTGTATATTTTCGGTGTGGATGCCCTGGGGTCGGCGAGCTGCCTTGGCATACAATAAAATCTCCGGCGCTTGCAGAGTTCAGCAAATCTCAGGAATTGGTTCAATTTTTGATACCTGTTTTCCGCTTATGTAGGCATCAAAGTGATGGGTAGCAACTTCAGCTAGATCTTTGCAGAAGTTTTTGAGGGTCAAATGTTGATTATCAGGGAGTGAGTTGTGACTTGGGGCGGCCCAATGATTGTCCAATTGCGAGGCAATACTACCAAATAATGATTCAGCTTCCTTTGCTCGGATTTCTGCTGCAGCAACACTTCTTCCCAGTGCCTCTCTAAGAGAGCCAGATGGGTTGGGCGCGTCAAACGGATCATCTGTAGGTTCTTCTGGGAGCTCGTCATGTTGTAGAGTGATGCCATGCTCGTAAGGAGTTTGGCTGGGGCCAGAGTTGTCGAGGTCTTGATTGGGATGATAGGAGGGGTACGTGGGAGGGCGTTGAGCTTGCAGCTCCAAAGTTGGCAGACGCGCTGATTGTATGACGTGGTTTTCTTTTATGTGCGGCTTAGCAATGCAGGATGTATTCTGCTTATGCTTTAGAATAGTGTGGGTAGAAGGAGAAATGTCTGTGAGAGGGGGGATTTTAATTGAAGCCAGGATTAGTTTAACAATAGAAGTATGTAACTAGATTCGAAGTTGAAGGGGATTGTGATAGTTTAATTTCTTCTTGTATTCTCTATTATCTTTATTGCTAGCAGGAAGATTTGATGGAAGTATGTCGCATTATGTAGCCGCATGACATCATGAACTACTGACAATGATCTGACACCAGGAATATAAAGGTAAATACATGTGTGTCAGTAATAGATCCGAGAAATCTATAACCTGCATTTGAGACATAGATATTAACTTTAAACTTTCTTGTCAACTTTGTATATTGTCAGGCGCAGGTTCACTAGGAGCAAGGCTTGAGGCGTAAGGGATGGCATAGCGTACAATGTACTGAGGATGGACACCTCGTGGGAACCCAGAGGGCTTTCTAGAAAGGTAATAAAGAAGAACTCGGGGAGTCGTTCTGGACAAAATGGCCGGAGGTGACAGTAGGTCCCTATGGGTGGCAGAGGACGAGAGTGAGATTTAATTAGAATTGTGTAAGTATTCCTAAAGACAGAAAACAAAACTTGAAGATCTCAGTATCTGAAATGAAAACTACATAACTATCCTCGCTAGATAATAAGGCTAGTGGTGCTAAACAAGGAACCCATAAATCCTGCCTGAGGCATTTCTCCAGAATCCTTACATATATGTACGTTTGTAATCACAGATATTGGAAATAATTCATGAGATTGCTTAATGAGAGGCTAGGATTGATTCCAATATGATTTAGTAGAAGACTTGTCCTAACTATTAGAGGGCTACAACATCTTTATCTATTTACAGGTAAATTCCTCATATCCCAACCAGGCTAGCCATAGAGGATGTAGCACATAAAACTTGATTTGTATCATCATTTTGGGGTTGAGGTTTACCGTGTATATGCTACTTGAGTTTAACGGTTTGATTGTTGTTTGAGCTTAGGTGGATACCTAAGCCTGATACTAAGAATTCTTACGAAGAGGCTGTATGGGCGGGAGATGAAGCTGAACGAAACATCACTACCAGTAAGGAGGCTGAGGCGTTATTACAACTTAATGGCACCTGGAAATACGTAGCTGGGTAAGAAGTATTATCCCCGAGGACAAGTCACTAGTCTGTAGATTCACAAGGAGGATCAACTCTTATAAATACCTGTTAGTGTTGAAATATGATATATCTTGGAATGCCAAGAATAACTTATTTCGTTTATTTCACACTAGCATTCGAGCAGATGACTATGTCTCAAATGTAGGTTATAATTTTCTCGTATCTATTACCAATACACATGTATTTAGCTTTATACTCCTGGCCCATATATGTGTATGTACATAGATCTACATCTACATAGATCATAACTTACGATCCATGGAGATTGATAAATACTGGTCAAAAACCACAGTTGATAAGATATGCAAACACGCAATCTCACTCTTATCATCTCGGTTTTACTCTGAACCGTACATCTAAATACAATTGTTTCCACTCGAATATTCCTCCCCCAACCTCATACAAGACTTACTGTATTGGTCTAACCGCCGACACTGATTCTGCTATAACCTCCATCTTCGCTCAAGCTCAAAACTTTAACAGTTTGTAGTAGCTAGAGTCTTTTTTCTCCTTACATAGTTTGATAAATATTATGCATCACCGACTCGGTTTCTGTCACAGTATGATATTGCCACGCCCGCGTATTATATAATCACGTGTTGGTGTTATTGCGTTTTATTTTTTCGAATCATTTGAATTGGATTTCATGTAACTCGATTTGGCGCCCCTTGGGCCCATGCAGATGTCTATCATACTTTCTAATTTACATGGGAGGAAGCCTTTTGGTGAAAAATCCCTCAAACCTTCCTGTTAAAGTTCTGTTTTTCTAATGTATCCTTTAGGAAGCGCAGTTACACCATAGTGACCTCTATGCGAATCATCGAGATCATCTATATCGATCTCGAGAATTGCTTGACCTGATCCTTCCCCTCAGCAGCAGCTTAACTGCCTTTGTCATTTGGAATAGCTCAATCCAAACGTGATTTAGGATCCACTGTGTTATCCATTTGATATCTTCAGGATTGTATAGCATAGCTTCGTAGGACCGATCTTTGGCTTGTCTCCAGATGTCTCCTCTTCCATTTGACCATCGAGGACAGAACATAATCATCTACTTGGGGTTCTGCGATTGGTACCCACATGGACAGCCTAGAATGTAGACTCCGGGCACTTTTCTTCTATATAAATACGAATTGAGCCCCATGCGCTCACTTCGTATTTGCATTGCTAGACTACTATGGATCCTTGTCATTTTTTATCATATTATATTTAGCTATATAGCTATGACAATGAAAGGAGTTATATCGAAGTACTTGCTCCGGTATGTGTGAGGCTGGGGTTATGCCTTGGGCGGACAAGCAGATACTTATAGCTTTAACGCTTCGACGCCGTCCATAGAGATAGATACACACACATCTTAACCAGCCACCACTTCTGCTGTAGCAAACGCATTATCATTACCTATGATATCACAGATAATAACCCTATCATACCAACAAATTATATACTGACATGTTAAAGGTTATCTGCTCTTTGTATTGACGTATACTTATTAAAAAGCTATATAATATAACCTTCAAATATGCCTAGATCTTTTTTTGGAATAGTATTGCCAACTTTTATTATTATGAGGGAAGAGATTTTATGCAACAAGTAGCTTCAATACTATAGTGCGGTCGCCTTTATTATGGAGAGGACGATGATAAGTGTTCGCTTTATCAGATTTTATATATCGGGGATTCTGGCCACATAAGTAGAATTTCTTGTATGTAACTGCTTGTGAGCCGAGTTTTGTCTAGTGCTTTGTTGTAATCACATGCGACTACAATTCTACAGTCGCCAGCTTTGTTCCAGACCAGTTCAGCAGTAATTGGAATATTCCAGTAATTGGTAGCTAGTTCAGGAACTATAATGAGTAGAATGTACGAGAAGCTGATATCAGCCAACAACGAATATTCTGGATATTATGATAAATGTATAAATTGTTGATGTGATTCTTCGATAAATGTCAATAGAGAAGGCCATAAATTATCTCCGTCTATCTGATTGCTAATACATCAATCCCCGAACTGTAACATTATGTATACCTATAGCTCATCTATCTACTTGCTAGAAGAATACTCCATACTTTGCAATTGAATCGTCTAAATTCTTGTCCATCTCATTCACATACAACTGTCTAGCATGTCATTACACCAACCATATCTTGTAAATACCTCTTAATCATCTACGACAGCTTATCTGATTGGATTAGAGAGTTCATAACACTATCACCATACTTTCTTTTCGCTTTCTCGTGAAAGATCTCCACTTCCTTCAAAGCAGTGGATGCATGAATGCATCCAAAGCTGACAGAAAGGGAGGAGACTAGAAGACAAGTAGAGGAAATGGGGGTTAAATATTTGTATTTAGATATAAAATAATCAGATGTGTCATAGCTAGATTGCTGAATACACTATGAATTTAAAAAAAAACAAAAATCTCGTGAAAGATCCTCAAATCCATCTTTTTTCGTGCCTGGATCTCGAATCTGTCAAAAATTTCAGCTTGAGATTTGCACTATAAATCACTAAAAATTATGAGCCCTTCATGCCGTGATAGCTTTCCATTTACTCGCTGGATTGTGAGTTGTCTAATGTACCCGAATTAATTACAAAGTTTACCGTGGTCCAGAGGCACATCTCTGGATTCCTGCACAGTTTACACTGTATTTAGCCCTCCGTATTAACTTGAATATGAACAAAAATACGATTTTGTATCTCATTATTCGTTTGTTGGCAAATATGTCCCTAATTTTTGACATTCTAAAAATTCGTCACCTACACGGATATAAACGCCCAAGAATTCGCAGCTGAAATTTAGTTTGATAAAGATATTTCGTCGTTTGAGACCTTTTCCAATACGGCCAGGCCCTTCGATCATGAAGTTATTGGAGCTTCCAATTGTTCTATCGTCACCCTTTTCTAGCTGCCTGATAGGCCAGAATCGAGTACTTCCTTCTCCGTCCTTTTCGGCTGGATCTGGCATGGGAAACGACAAATCCCTGGTCATGGCTTTATCAGTATCTTCTTGTATTACCCTACAAGCCGCCTGCATATGGCTATTCAGTGTGATGGCGGAGAACGTTTTGTAACCGCATTTGAATGGGCTTATATTGTCGAATAAGGCCTCTCCGATTGAGTTCTTTGTGCCATCAATCGCTCTGGGAGGTTTGGAATCAACCGATTGCATTTCAATACAACGGAACCAATTAGCCTTGTTTCTAAACGCTAGACCGAGTATATCTTTAGCTTTATTCACTGCGATACGGTATGGACCCGCATTCCTATCTAAAAACTGGTCAGCTCATCATTTACATTTGTAAATTATATTCTACTTGCACTCATATTTTCTCACGTCTCCTTCGCCGTAAATAGACCAAAGATAAATCTCATTGCCACCAAACTGAGGTGAATTAATCTTAATGGTGTTTACTCTAGCTTTTGTCTCTGCTGAGGAAGATAGTTTCTCTTTTAGAAATTCATAAGAGCTTAAAATATCCTGATACAAAAATACCTTGCCGTTACATCTGTAAGCAAAATTTTTTGTTGAAATTTTGGACTCGTTTTCGGATATGACTGTCGATCCATGATATGAATCAATAGTTTCCTCACAACGATAGTAAGAGCTTTTACTGCGGTAGACGAGTCCAACTAAATTGCACATAGAATCTATCACAATTCGGGAATTCACGCGATTCGCTGCTGAGCCGTTAGAAACCTATTCACGGTGAAGATTCTTCTAATACCACTGTTTTTACGGTGAAGTAAATTTCCCCCCGCGTATTGATGACCATAACATACTGTTGTTGGTACGGAAAAGAGAGCTGCATCCTGTATGCCGAAAAGCTTAGAGCCGTCAAATGCTGCTGTGAATCTACATGAGACATCCGAGCATTTTAAGGCTAGGCAAGCATTTTCAAGAGATTTTGATACTACCTCGGCAGCGAAGTACCTTTTTCCACACACAAAGCTCCTCGAGCGATTTGTCGCAGCGATAGTGTAAACATAGAAGCTGATTATGACTGCAAGCTTAGACAACTGAAGTCTCATTTCTGCTTCTTCTCAAAAGCAGGCGAGAATAGAGAATGTCGTTGGTCTCAAGCTGTAATCAAAATAAATAAAAATTAATAGCTGCCATGCAATGTCTGGACTTTCGATTTATTCAATGGACGATTCACAAAATTGGGTCATGAGACAATGTACGATAGATTATGAGAAGGAAAATCCTACGAATTTTGGTTCCCCAGCAAGTCTTGGGATCAGTATCTACAATTCCTATGTTCGAGAACTGGTAAATTAGAAATTATGCGGAACAGCGTACAAAAATTGCTCTGGATAACAATTAAATTTCGTCTGAAATGAGTACAGGCCTTATGTATCACTTAGATCCTAGATTGGTTTCAAGAAGTCATTCTGAAAGCGAGATGAGTTAAACTTTCAGCGGATTCCCTCGTGTAAGTCGGATTTGAATATTCTCCTAGAGACATAGTTTGGCGCAATTTCTTCGCACAAGAAAAGGCCTACCAGGCCGTGATATATGATCTCAGCGACATCAATTCGAAAGAAAGATTTGGATTTTTTGTAGGTATGTTTTAGAACAACTTGAATCTAATCACGGCACCTTGTCGGAATTTATGATGTTAGTTAGACCATGCGAAGCCATTAGCAAGCAGCAGGCTACTCCCTGACAACCTGAATGAGATTTCGGATGGTCTACACACTGCGCACGCTCATAATACAATGGCTGGGGGACTATTCTCAACATCTGTCAGTGGTGTCCTCCACGAACCTCCAACTTTCACTGTAAAGCCCTCGGAGCCGAGATTGAGCAACACCTTCTCAACTTTGAGCTGAGTTACTGTTGTGAATATCGTGAGTATGACTTGTTGTCAACCTAACCATGACCTGCATTCAAAGCGATGTGAAGCTTACAAGAAAGTACATTTGACCCTGCGGGCTAAGTGCGCCAAGATCTCACGTGAGACATACTGTGCTTTAAACATTTTACCTGACGTTATCTGTGAAAATATTCTGTAACTTTTTTGTTTTTTTTTTTTTTTGCGTCAGATTTTAATTGCGTATGCAGCTATCTAGCTATGACACATTATCAAAGAAAAGTACAGAAAAGATGATTCAACCCAAGGAAAGAGCACTCATGCCTCGGATTTCATTTGCAAGCACCACTGCGAGGTTATGCCGGCTTTTTCTTCACCCCAAGTCAAGGCTCATCCGTGAATACCCACCCAGGGAAACGTCTTAAAGACCCTGCATTATCTAGACATGCTTACATCATCTTTTGACTTATCTCCGCGCGGAGTACAGTCTGAGGCGTCTCCTTCCCAAGTGGAGTAGGTGCCCAGGCTACTCAGACTATACCGGAGAACACCGCCAGGAGGCGGACCACAACACCTTCCATCGTTTGCTTGTGTTTATAGCGTCAGCTGCACTCTCGCAAGCGAAGTCTTGGCGCGCACAAAGCTCGATTCGTAAAACTCTTGCCAAAATTCAAAATTTCACGCCCGTCGAGAATGTATCCCTCTTTTGCATCATCTTGTAAACTTGTCCTGGTCCCTCTCACGTCCATCCCAAAGAACTATCTCCCAGATTTGTGCGCCACACTTTGCTTCCTCCGTCGGTTGTAAATATCTGCGTGGGCGTGTATTTGGTGACCGGCTGAGGCCAGAGAAAGTCGACGAGAGGTGTGGTCATTGAAGCGAGGATGTACTAGGTCGTACTTGTAGACTTGATGAAGCTTAGTTGAAAATCGGACTCTTTGGGAGTGAAAGATTGACATGGTGGAGTAATTTGAATTTTTGCCTCGTGGGCCAACTTCTTTAATATAGCGAAATTTGACTGAACTTGGCTCTGGGAGAATATTTCACTCCTAGGTTCGTAGAGGACACCGCGTACAGGTGTTCAGTCTTGCCCTCCTATTCTGTAACTGTTTGTACTCATGTAATCATGTACGAGTCGTATTCCTGTACAGTGCCTCTAGGTTGGAAAAGGTAAAACTGCAAACGGGGTTGTTTAAGGGATTAGCCCTGTAGGCGCTGCTGGGCTAGCTCGCAATAGGTCAGACTGTCTCTCCTCCTTACCCCGTGTGCGTACGGTTTCGAAGTGGCTTACGGTTTTTTTTTTTTTAAAATCAAGGCTTACGGTTGACTAGGGACTACAAGCATGCCTGTAATAAGTATCACAGAATGCCTGGTAAGTCTTTGTTTTGTTCTTTTACGTGCTAGGTATAGTAATTCCCGTTGCACTCCTACTGGAGCTTAAGCACGGGTGGGGCCGAGCCGGATCAGGTTAACCACCGTAAGGTACAAGTGCCTCGTCCCACCTAAATGACCAGACCACATCAGACTTCACCTATGTGTTGAATCATGTCAAGCCCAACCGTCCAGAGAACCCCATTTTGGCGCGCCGAAGCGCAGATTCCTCCTCAGCCTCGGCCACTACGCGCCCGAGCCCTTGACATCTTTGCCATCTGTAACTTTTCCCTTCGCTTCATTCCCAGCTTTGGCTCACCTCAGCATCTCATCCAAGAGACGTTTTCTTCACTAGAGGCCTCATCCAGTCGCCCACCAAGGCCTCCTCAGTTTGTGTTCCATTTTGTTTCCTTCATGTAGCATCCCTCTATCCTTCGGCCGATATCATCATTCAAGAAAATTTGTACATTGTCCACCCTGCCGGCCTTGCCCCGTCGCTGCCGTACCCCTAACTGTGGAGGTCGAAAATGCGACTGAGAGCTCAAGACCGAGGCACCGGTGCCCCAGCCTTTGTCTTATGCTCTAGTTGGTGTGCCGGCAAAATGTCGTACGTATTTCGTCGGTGGCGATTCGTCGCAGGTCGAGTTGTTGGTGCCCTTGGCCGAGGTGAGGACGCATCTCAGGCCGGTATTTCGACCGTACCTTCACAGCGACTGGCAGTTGCGGAGGGTCGGACATTCTCTTGCTTCTAAGTCCGCGATTTGGCTTTTGGAGGTATGGGCTTGCTTCGGTAGGTGGTGAGATGATTGTGGAGAGGGCCGCAAGATGAGTTTGGCTGAGAATGAATTTCCAGAGAAAGAAAATAAGATCTTGAAGGTGTCGGTTGTTGTGATACGAACATCAGATAGGTTATAGGCTGTCTGCGGTTCGTATCTGGGGTGTAGATGGTTGATTCTGTTGAGCAGTGCAGTCGTGAAATCTCTGCAAGTCGGATTTTCGACCAAAAATGTGCCAACACCACTCCTCCCGATCGCCAACTCGAAGAAAACTCTCAAATCCACCCTTTATCTTGACTGAATCTCGGCTCTGGGAGAATATTTCACTCCGAGGTTCGTAGAGGACACCACTGACAGGTGTTCAGCCTTCGTCCTCCATGCCTGGTAAGTCGTTAAGTTAGATGTAAGTTGTTCGTTGCTTTCTAACCTAAAACTCCCTATGAATACAATTACGCTAAGAGATTACATAAGTAGGGGTCGACCGTAAATCTCCATCATTGCACGAGCCGCCCCCTTAGGATCGTGCGATCTGGATGAACACCCGCTCGCCATGAAGTATGGTCCAATCGTCTTCTTCTAACAATCGGTTAGAAAAGCACATTTTTAACGACATTTTTGGCTGCCCAACAAACACAGTCCTTGAATCTTAACATCCCTCTCAATTTATCCTCTATTCTAGCAAACAATGTCTCTCAATAAGTCTGCTTCAGAAACCAGAGTTCGCAAGCATCTAACTCGCGATCAATGTATTGAAAGAAGAACAATAAGATAACTTGGCTTGACACTACAACATATATCCGACGAACTTGGCTTCACAAGAGGGCAAGTGCAACTCGTGTGTGCTCGAGAGACTGAGAATCCTATGTCTCGCAAAGGACCCTTACCAAAATTAAGCGCGGAACAAGTTGATGAGCTTGAGGCTTTCGTCCGGGAATCTCCTGGAAATCGACAGATCTGCTATTTGGAACTAGCGATGGGGCCCTTCAACCACTGGGGGGATGCAGTGAACGTTTAATTTTTAACGCATTGAAAAAAAGAGGTTACAGCAGATGCATTGCTCGGAAGAAGCCTCCGTTAAGCGCGGTGAACAAGCAGAAAAGATTGGAGTTCGCCCAATTACATTTAGATCGGAGCAATGACCAATGGAGTCGCATATTATGGATTGATGAAACCTGGGTATAGGGTGATTCTCATATGAAACCTCGTGTCACAAGAAAAGTACGTATAAATTCTATTAAAATCTTCCTCGAACTAACAGCAGAGTTTAGCCTGATGATGAGTTTGATGAGACTTGTATTGTGGCTCGCCATGCTCATGGGAACAGCTGGATGTTTTGGGGATCATTTTACGGATCACAAAAAGGCCCATTCCTAGTCTGGGAGAAAGATTGGGGATTAATGAGGGCCTCGTCTTTTTGTGAAAGGATTTTGCCACTTTTGAATCAATTTCACTCGGAAAATCCAGAAATTCTATACATGCACAACGCACCATGTTATAAGGCGTACTCAACAATTGAAGCGTCAAGTGAAGTTGGAATCACGCCTATTAGATGGCCACCTTCCTCTCCGGACCTGAACCCGATTGAGTCATTGTGGAACATCTTAAAAAACCACATTCAGGTAAATAGTCCTGAGAAAAACGGGTCAGGCTTGTGCGCTCTGCCACGTTGAAGACATTGATACAGGATGCATGGGACTCTGTAACTTCTGAGGAGCTATTGTCACTTGTTGGCAGCATGCACGAAAGATGTGTAGCAGTGATAAAGGCAAATGGAGGGTACACAAAGTATTAGGATGGAGAAGGCTAATACAAAACATGTAGTATGCTTTCATTTTAGGTGCGAGCCATACTGAGGGCTTCGATGTATACTTTGTAATACAGAGCAATAATTTTTGAAATAGATGTGCACCTTTAGAGAACATCAATTGATATTTTTAATTTTGAATTTCAAATGAGGACCATTGTGCTTTTGCCATTGAGTTGAAAAATATAATTTAGACTTTCATGGAATGTCATTGGGTAGTTCCCCTTGCTTGCATAACTAGTCAAGTAGCTAGACATGGGCCTG